GCGCCCGCCAGGTGTGGGCCTCTGCGCCTTGGCCATCTCGCCGGGCCACGCTGCGGTGTGGCTGGAGTGGCCTGACGCCGCCGTCATGGGCAGGCCGGGCCTTCCTCCTGGAGAGGCCCAGCCCATACTCCGGGCAGGAGCCGCCTCGATTCTCCGCGCCGCTGGCGCGCGCATGCGCCCGGCAGCCTCTCCCTGCCGGCGGAGCTGCGGGACCCTGGAGGGCAGAGCCCGCCCCCGCACTCATCTCGCTGCACTCAGCTGGCCCTGCAGGTCTTCTCCGGGCGTGGGGCCTCCTGCCCCTCGGTGCTCCCGCCTCGCCAGAGGGGGTCCCGACCTGACCGCGGGACTCCCTGGTGCTGGATGCGAACCGGTGCCAGGACCGGGGAAGGGTGGCCTCTGGCCGCCTTCTGGCGTTTTCTAGACGGGTCTCTACATTCCATGTTTTGTATATTTTCTGCGTTACTTGATTCAAAGTTAATTTTATTACAGACCACTCTGCTTTTCTCACTGGGGTTCTCTGGTCTGCGGGAGACATAAAGGCGTGGCCCCCCTCCCTGGCTGAGACCGCAGTGTCCAGGTGGGCGTGTGGCCTGCTGAATGCCCAAGGGGCTTGAAGCTCCCCTCTGCCCCCCCCCAGCTGTCTGTGCCCAGCGGGCCCCAACCTCTGTCCCCAGGTGGGGCTGGCCGGAAGTCCGGTCCAAGGTCCCCGGCCGCCGGCCTTGACAGCATCCTGCCCACGCAGCGCCCCGGAGCCACTGGTGGGGTGGGGACGAGGCCGCCCCCATTGGCCACCATGGCCTTGAGGCGCGCCAGGGCTGGAGTGCGCCTGACCCTGGGTGGGGAGGCAGTGGGCCCCGTGGCCAGCCAGCTGCCCTAAGAGCCCGCACCCTGTGCAGCCTGGGAGCACCCAGTGAGCCCTTTGGGGGAGGGCTGGACTCGTGGCAGATGGCGGGTGCAGGACGCAGGGCTTCCGGGCGGAAGGGCGGGGCGGCCTGCAGACAGGGCGGCAGGAAGCTGCACCCCAAGGGGCCAGCCGCCTCTCCCCTCAGAGGGTGGGGGTTGCTGTGGGGTGCGGTTTGGACTCGGCAAATGGGGCGGAGCGCCCAGGGGCTCAAGCGTGCGGGGCGGCCCCGGGGCACTGGGCGCCCGCACACCTGCGCGGCCTCTGCTCGCAGGAAGCCGCCGGGCTGGGCTGGGCGCAGGGGCCGCTGCCTGCCGCCCCTCCGCGTCGCGCCTCCCCCCACACACAGTGGCAACCCTGCGGGGGGCCCTGTCACCCCGCCACCCCACCCCCACCCCACGGCCGGGGAGGAAGCCCAGAGAATCAGGAAGGAAGCCGGGTGGGACTGGTCAGGGAGCCCCGCCCGCTAGGCGGCCTCCAGACTACGCCCGAGGGCGCCCTCCACCCCACCCCGCCCCGCCCCTGCCCAATGGGCCCAGCGGACTCCCCCCCACCCCCAAGGCTGAGCAGGAAACGGCCGGCCTGGGGGTGCGCCCGGGCTGAAGGCGGGGCCTGCGGCGAGCTCCGCCCACGGGGCGGGGCAGGACCCGGCAAGGCCCAGGGTGTGGGCAG